CTGGGCCAGACAGGAGATCTCCTACGGGGCAAGGACCCCCACGGTCACGCCCTTCCCGCAGTCCAGTCTCCCCACGCCCACCCTCAGCCTGCCACATCCCTCCCACCCCCACAGCTCCCCACATTCCCTCAACACTCCACAGTCCCCCAGCTCCCCTGGGATAGGGTCCCCTTACCTTCACCCTGACCTTCCCCCACAGACCCCCTCATCCCCTACAGGTACCCACATCATGCTGAATCCCCTCACAGCCCTCCTCATCCCCCACAGCTACCCACAGCCACCCCGCTGCCCCTGCTGCCCCGGGACCCTCCAGGTAACCCCTTCAGGGAGGGTCAGGGCCTCACCTCAGGGTGTGGTGCAGTGAGGCAAACATCCTTGTTTTTAGGGGTTTGTAACTTTACTACGCTATTATGAAAACATGAATAGAACACTTTAACAAAATGTCGCCAAATACATCTTATACGTCAAACTCCACTGAAAAAGAAGAAATTAAGCAGAAGCAGCGTTTTCAGTCTTCACTATCTTGGAGGGTCTAGGGGAGAAAAACTGTCATTACTGTTTGTTATTCGCATAAAGCCAAGCAAAATTTGTTTGTAGTTTTGAGTCCTCCAAGGGAGAAGATAGATTAATGTCTGGGCAGCTTCCTTTATTAAGGAAAGAAAACCTCCTGCAATGGACCTTGAGTGACACAGGTGAAGCAAGTTCACAGAATATTTCATCCCAAGCTGGGTCTGGGAAATCTGAATCCTGGATCTGTGCTGCCCTTTGTCTACACCTGCCTATTTGGAGGTTACCAGGAAGGATTGGGCAAATTTGCCTCAAGGCATGGGATTCCCCCTTTCTTTTTAGTTTTTACTGGTGTATAGTGTACCTGTTCAACGGTGCACATTCACAGGTTTGGTGATTTTACACAAACCAAAGTATCACTCAGATCAAGGAACAACATTGCCAGCTCCCAGGAGACCTCCGTAATCACCCCTCAGAGGGAGTAGTGGCTTCAAACAGCAAAGATCAGCTCTGCTTGTTTTTGCACTCGATAGTGATTGAATTACAGAGTGTGCTCTACTGTCTGGCTGCACCCCTTGCCATTGTGTTTAGAAGATGTGTGCCATGCGTGGCTGTCGTCCACTCATTATGCTGCGTCGGATACCATCGTGTGAACACACCTCCATTTACTTATTCATTTTACTATTGAGAGACGTGGGGGTAATCTCAGGTCTGGGACATGACAGGTAGCACTACTGTAACACCACAGTAGCTGTCTTTGGGTAAACGTGTGTACACACTTGTGTTGGGCACAGCCCTGGAAGTGTAATTGTGAGTCACAACGTGCACATATGTCTGGCTTCTGTAGATGTTGCCAAAGAGCCTTCAGAACAGATGATCCAGTGTTCACTCCTTCTTTACTAGTGTTCTATTGCTGTTTGTTAACATGAACAAATCACCCCAACTTAGTGGCTGTATTTATTCTCTTACAGTTTATTCTCTGACAGTTCTGGAGGCCAGAAGTCCAAAGTGGATCTTAAGTGGTTAAAATCAGTGTCAGGGGGCTGCATGGTTCCTGGAGGCTCTATGGGAGAACCTGTTTCCTTGAAACCTTTTCTGTCTTTTAGAGGCTGCCTGCACTCCTTGGCTGGTGGCCCCTTCCCCCAACTTCACACCTCTCTCTCTCTCTCATTTCTCTCTCTGTCTTTCTTTCTGTCTCTCTATCTCTCTGCCTTTTTACCTCTGTCTCTCTGTGTGTGTGTGTCTCTATTTTTCTCTCTGCCTTTCTGTCTCTGCCTCTCTCTGTCTCTTTCTCTCTGTCTTTCTCTGTCTCTATTTTCTCTGTTTCTCTCTGTGTGTCTCTGTCTCTGTCTGTCTCTTTCTCTCTCTGTCTCTGTTTCGGCCTCTCTCTCTCTGTCTCTGTTTCTCTCTGTCCCCCCGCCAGTTCTCTCTCTGTCTCTCTTTCTGTGTTTTTCTCTGTCTCTATTTTCTTTTCTCTCTATCTCTGCCTCTCTGCCTCTTTCTCTCTCTCTATTTCTCTGTGTGTGTGTCACTCTGTCTCTTTCTCTCTCTATCTCTGTTTTCCTCTCTGCCCCCCCCCAGTTCTCTCCCTGTCTCTGTTTCTGCCTCTCTCTCTGTCTTTCTCTGTCTCTATTTCTCTCTGTGTCTCTGTGCGCATCTTTGTGTCTCTGTCTCTCTCTGTTTTCCTCTGTTTCCCCCCTCTAGTTCTTTCTCTCTGTCTTTCTGTGTCTTTCTCTGTCTCTGTTTTCCTCTCTCTCTCTCTGTTTTTGTTTCTACCTCTTTCTATCTCTATTTGTCTCTGTCTTAGTCTCTTTCTCTCTCTCTGTCTCTCTCTCTCTCTCTCTCTCTGTGTGTGTGTGTGTCTCAACCCTGTTTCTATTGTCACATGTCTTTCTTTTCCTCAACTTACTCTCTCCCTCTGACTCTCATGCCTCACTCCTATAAGGACTTTGTGATGACAGTGGGCCAACTTGGACACTCTAGGATCATCTTCCATCTCAAGATCTATCCTTTAATCACATCTGCAAAGTTCCTTTTGCCATGTAGGGTAACAAATTCACAGGTTCCAAGGGTTAGCACTTGGATCTCTGTGGAAGTCCAGTATTCAGCCCACTGCACCTATCAGCAGGCTATTGGATGGTGCTCATGGATGGAGAGAGGCTGGACTGAGAAAAACAAAAGCACAATGAAAACCCAAGATATAATTAGGATTTTCCCTGTTGACCTGGGTGCTGTGCCAGGGCTGGTGGGCAGCAGAGGGGGCTGATGCTGAAACACCATCTGGCCGCCACTGTCCTGCTGCCATTACACATCTGGGACAAGGAGATTTTATAGAGTGAACCTCTGGGTTGATTTGGGCTGAGTGGAACATTTGAGAAGGCAGACCCTCCTTCATGGTGGTTGGTAACAGCAGGAAAACGGTGGCGAACACGTCCCTTTTTGTACTGTGGGCATGGCTGTGTGGTCAGTGGGCAATGTCCCATCTCGCGCCACATTCCTGTTCATCCTTTAGCACTGAGGTTCATTCTGTCTCAAAGCTGATGGAGTAGTGAGGACTGACTTCCCACAGCAGGAGAGACAAGGTGAGGGTGGGGTAAGCCGACAGAGCGCGTCTCCTGCTCATTCCAGCAGGTGTGTCCCTGCCATTGTTGTGATCTGAGTGTCAAAGGAAGAGGGCTTTAACACTCAGAGTCTGAAATTGAGAATCTCTACATCATACCTATTTCTGATCTTATTTTTAGTCCAGCGCCACATCCTTGGGGGAGATTGGCTAGATATTTTTAACCCCATTTACCAATGAGACCACCAGGGCTTCAGGAGCTCTTGATTCCCTTGAGGAGCCTCAGGAGCAGGACCAGGAGCAGAAGGAGCCTCCAGCTCTTCCCACTGTCCTTGTGCCGCTCACTCCTTGGTGTGCAGATCCACTACGGCTGAAGGTGGAGGCTGAGAAGGCAGAATCGATCCAAGGTATTCAAATTGGGTGTATTCCTACTTTGTGGTTGATAAAGTGGGGTTATCTGGAATGTAGGATTTCCTGCCCTTGTAGTTTTATGCCATTAAAAATATGTTTTAGGAACAAGTAAAAGGAGATGTACTTAATAAACATCTTCATTAGAAATCTTTCCATCTACTTTCCATCTTCTAGAAATAAACTGAAGCCACTGAAGCCGGGCTTGGTGGCTCAGCCTGTAATCCCGTGCCTTT